TTGACTAATGATTTTGAAGACCAGGAGAGCAAAATACTTACATTATATGGCAGGGTTCATTTCTATCTTTTAAACAGTGTCCGTTTTCCCACTTCTTTTTGGTAGGAAATAAAGTTTTTATATATTTTGATCCAGCATGTGTACTTTTGACTGCACACCAAGGTGCATCTAGAATTAAGCAAAGAGAAGTGTCTCTTAAGGGAGTTACCTTTAAAAAAAACTTTTTAATTAACATTATCAAACTAATATATAACCTTTAAATTATAAATCATGATTCAGCTTCCAAAATGGCAAAATTAATGCAACAAAAACATTTCTAAGAAAGCACAAGATAAAATCTTGAATTGTATCTTAAATACTTTCTAAGACTCACTTTTATTTATTTTTTCCTGCTAAAGTTACTGTTGGTGTGTGGCATGCTTCAAAAAAAAGACCTACACCTAAAAGAAATACAATTGTAACATGGAAACATTTAAGTTAAACAAATTTATTGCCTTTACTGAATGTGAAAGTGACTTTAAATATTAACTATTTCTTTAATAAGATACTATAATAGCTTACACATTTTGTAGACATGGTATTTTAATAAAATCATTTAGTTTTCATGACTGACCAAAGAAATAAACCTGATTTCTCATTAAAGGCTGTTTTTACCTTCCTAAGGTCCACAGTATAGGGAGAGAGCCTTGAGTTACAGGGTTCAGCAAAAGTTTTAGCTTTTAACCTTGTTTTATTTTAAGAGGCTATAGATTCTTATACTAAACCAATTTGATTTAAATTTTTGCACATTATTTAAAAGTGCCATAGAATTAAGCCATTATAAAGACATTGTGAAAAATAAATTCTGAATAAATTTTAAAATCCCGAGTGCTTAGTCAAGATGCCTTGTTTAAGCATTCGTTAACTACAACCTCTTTATCACATATTCTAACATTCCATTTTTTAAGTGTTTTGTCTTAGCCAAACTTCTGAAGTTGAAAAAAATTACTTGCATAGAGGCATGCCTTGCTTCAGGGATGGGGGATAAATTCTGAGAAATACGCCGTCAGGTGATTTTGTTGTTCGAACACCACAAAGTGTACTTACACAAACCTAGATGTTATAGCTTATTACTATAGCTATGTGGTATAGCCAGTGTAGTCTTATGGGACCATCGTCAAATGTGCGGGGTCTCAACTGAAACGTCGTTAGGTGGCGCATGACTATATTTTTCCATCAATTGATAAAAACCTCAAAGATATTCTGAAAAGTATAACTTGAGGTTTAGAATGCTGTTTTAAAGTAATAATTGTTCACTTTAACAGTAAACTTGAAGTCAAAAATTTTTTTGTATGGTTTAATATGAAAAAGTTCTGAAAACAAACTTACCAGTCTCAATCATTAATTTTTCACTTGGTATTGACTTCAAAACTTCCAAATTAGCCTCAGTTTTCAGTGAGCTTTAAAAAAGATGTAAATTATTTATTTTAAAAGTTAGCATTTAATGAAGAATAACTTTTTTTCATATCATAAACTTGTCTACCCATAACAAATTTTATTTTCAATATTCTTTAGAAACTATTTGCATGTTCTAGGCTGGCCGGTTAGCTCAGTTGGTTAGAGCATGGTGCTGATAACACCAGAGTCAAGGGTTTGGATCCCCATACTGGCCAGCTCCCAACCCCCACCCACAAAAGGAAAATATTCGCACATTCCTGTCCTTCACAGAATCCTGATCAAGATCTGTTTCAACCAGATCTGCCTTTAGGGGATATGATTTTTCATGCTTATCAGTTGATTCTCCAATAGCTATCTGTATCAGTCTAAGTAAAATTTAACTTTTTTAAAAAATTCATTTGCTTCTCTGAGTACTTAACATAACTTAGAGAGGCTCATGAATGAGGCTGTTAACTTTCACTTCCTAACTTTTTAAGCCTCTGAGACAGATTGGATTACTGCTTCCAATTCTTCACTGTCCTTTAATAGAATTGTACATCTGCACCCTCGCCATGGTTTCTTGGTAGGAAGGATGAACTCCACCCCCCAACTTTCAAATCCCACATCACAGTAGTCCATTTGTTAAAACAGATGAATCTACATGGACACATCACCCAAAATTCATGGTTTACATTAGGATTTACTCTTGGTGGTACATTCTATGGGTTTGGACACATTTATAATGACATATATTTACCAATCTAGTGTCATACAGAACAGTTTCACTGCCCTAAAAATCTTGTGTTTTACATATTCATTCCTCCCTCCCCACCACCTCTGGCAACCACTGGTCTTTTTACTGTAGTCACAGTTTTGCCTTTTCTAAAATGTCATATAGCTGGAATTATACAGTATGTAGTCTTTTCAGATTGGTGTCTTTCACTTAGTAATGCATTTAAATTCTCTCCATGTCTTTTCATAGCTTGATAGCTCATTTCTTTTTAGTGCTGGATATGTCTGGAT